ACCAAGACTGCAACATGAAGCAACAGACAACCTAAAAAAGACTCATAATGAACAAAAATGAACCAGTAATAAACTCTCCTAAGAAAGAAAAGTTCAGGATTAGAAAGCTTTATTGCTGAATTTTACTAAACTTTTAAAGAACTAACATCAATTATTATCAAACTATTCCAAAATTTTGAAAGGGGGAAAATTCTATGAGTACAGCTACCCCTGATACCAACCAGACAAGGACACAACAGAAAGAAAACTGTAAGGCAGTTTTCCTAGTGAACATAGATGCAAAATTTCTTTTTTAAAAAATTTTATTTATTATTTTTATGTGTACGCATGTATTGCCTGCATGTAGGTAAGTGAACCCGTGTTGTGCAATGCCCACAGAGGTCAGAAGAAGCTGTCAGATCCCCTGGGACTGGAGTTATGGACAGTTGTTAAATTCTCAATAAAATGTCAGCAAATTAAATCCAGGAGCACATTAAAGTTATACAGCATGATCAAGTGGGATTTATCCTGGGGATGTGCAACATACAGAAATTGATAAATGTAACATACTACATCAACAGAATGAACAACAAAACAATATATGAGCCATTTAAATACACAAGGGAAAAGCATTCAGTAAAATTCAGCATCTCTTCATGATCAAAACTCTTTAACAACTTAGGTTATACAGAACATACCTCTATATAACTTTTTAAATATTTTATTTATTATTTTTATTTTACGTGTATGAGCGTATTGCCTGCATGTGAGTGCACCTGTGTTGTGCAATGCCTTGGAGGTCAGAAGAGGGCTTTGGATTCCCTGGGAACTGGAGTTAAGGACAGTTCGTAGCTGCCATGTGGGTACTGAGAATCGATCCCAGGTCCTCTGCAAGAGCAGTCAGTGCTCTTATATAATTAAGGCCACATATGACAAACCCACAGCTAACATCAAACTAAAGGTGGGAAAGTTGAAAATATTTTCTCAAAGATCTGGAGCAGATAAGGATGTTCACTTTCACAACTCATATTCAGCATATGAAAAGTCCTAGCCAGAGCAACTAGGCAAGACCAAGAAAGAAAAGACATCTAACCTAGAAAGAAAGAAATCAAATTAAATACCTCAAGTTGAAATTAACCAAGAAATCAAAGAACTTCTACAATCAAAACTACCAAACAGTGATGAAACAAATAAGAACACCAAAAAAAGGAAGATAACCCATATTCATGGATTGAAATAAATTATGTTAAATGTCCATACAACCCAAAGTGATCTGTCTACACATTAAATGAAATCTCTATCAGAATATCAATGATATTTTTCACAGAAATAGCAAAAATACTCCTAAAACTTGTATAGAACTACAAAGATTCCAAATAACAAAACCGATACTGGGTAAAAAGAACAAAGCTGATAGTAACCACGGCATAGTAAGGGCAAAAAAAAAAAAAAAAAAAAAAAAATTCACGAAGACCAATGCAACCAAACAAAACCTTAGAAATAAATACATGTGCTGACAGCCACCTGATATTTTACAAAGATAAATGGCACTGGGAAAGTCAGAGATCCATATGCAAAAACAAACCTCTAAAATCTGGAGCTCTATTTCTCATCATAAACAAAAAATCCACTCAAAATAGATCAAAGGCTTAAAAGTAAGATCTAAAACCATGAAACTACTAGAAGAAAACTTGGGGAAATGCTTCAGGGCATTAATCTGAACAAAGTGTTTTTTTGATACATCAAAGGCATAGTCAACTAAAGTAAAAAAAAAAAGACAAATGGAACCGTATCAAATTCAAAACAACAGAAATAAGGAACAATCTACAGAACAAGAAAAATACTTGCAACCTATTCACCTGACAAGATATAAATACTTAGAATATATGAGGAACACAGAGCAAAAATCTATAGATAATCCAATTTTGAAACAGGCAAATGACTTAAACACTCTCAAAAGATGTACAAATAGTCAAATAGCATATGAAAAAAAAGTTCAACAGCACTAATTATCAGAGAAATGCAAATGAAAGCCCCAAATAAGAAAACATCTCATCTCTGTCAGAATGATTATTAAAAAGATTAAATTTTAGAAATTCTTTTTCAAAATGGCACAGTGAAGAAAAAGGTTTTCTTAACCCTCAAACCCTCACACAAAAAGGTCAAAAAGTAAATGTTGGTCCAGGTAAACTCACATACTTTGTCAGGGAATGTAAACTGGTATAGCTACCATGGAAACTAAAAATAGGAGCTAGGCATGGTGGCACATGCCTGGAATCACATTACTTTGGAAGCTGAGCCAGGAAGATTGCCAAAATCTGTCTGAAAAACAAAGACAAACAATAAAACAGCAACAACAAAAAACACCCAAACCCCAAAAACCTAGAAACATACACATGACCCTCTAGTCACTGTGGGGTAGAGCCAAAGGACAGGAGATCAGTGTATCAGAGACCTGCATGTGTACCTTTACTGCAGCACAAGTTACAATAGCCAAGTATAGAATCTCCTGAGGTGTCCATTGATCAACAGATCAGTAAGGAAATGAGATATATAGCCACAACAGAATATATGCGGTCATAAAAGAATGAAATCCTGTAATTATGGCAACCTGAGTGGGTCTAGAGGGTACTGTGTTAGAGTGAAGTAAATTGGGCTCAGAAAAACAAATGCAGCCTTCTATGGGAGAATTAAAATACTCAACTCAGAGACAGAGCAGAATAGTGATGCCCAGAGAGTCTGGAAACTTCTAGTGTTCTGTAAGACAGTGGAGTAACTTTTGCTGACAAAAACTAATTAAATATTTAAAATGTCTAAACGAGAGGATTTTGAATGCTCTCAACACAGACATGATAAGTGTTTGAGGTGACAGGCATGCCAATTACCCTGATCTGATCACTACAGATTACATATATGTATTGATTGATAGGGTTTTTTTTTTTTTTTTGAGACAGGGTCTCCCTGTAGCCCCAGCTGACCTAGAACTTACTATGTAGACCAGGCTGGCCTCAAACTCACAGAGATCCACCTGACTCTATCTCTCGAGTGCTGGGATTAAAGGTGTGCACCACCATGTGCCCAGTGTTACACACATGTATTGAAATAAAAGATTATACTTCATAAATATGCACAATTATGTGCCAATTTAAATCAAGCAGACCTGAAATCAATAATATTTTTCTAAGTAATGAAAGAAAAGTAGCCCAGAATTTGACATCTAGTTAAAATGTTTTTCAAAAACTAAGTTAAAATATGAAAGAAATGCAAATCAAACCTCTACCGAGAGTCTATCTTTCTCCAGTTGAAATGTCTGTCATCAAGAACACAAAAGCAACAAAAGAATGCAAGGATGGGGGTAGGCAGGGACCCTTGTACACTACTGATGGGGTGTAAATTAGTGCAGTCATCATGGAAGGCAGAAGGGAAGTTTCTTTAAAAAAAAAAAAACTATAAAACTACCATACGATCCAGCTGTAACAAGCCTTGGTATGTATCTGAAGGTATCTAAGTCAGCATACCAGAGACAACTAGGTGCTCATGTTCATTGCAACATTGTTCACAACATCCAAGACTCAGAACCATTCTAGATTCCCACTCATATATCAATGGATAAAGAAAATGTAGTATATATATATAAGATGGAATTATATCAGCTGTAAAGAAAAATGAAATTATGTCATTTGTAAGAAAATGACAGAAATCATCAATTTCAGCAAAGTACACCAGACTCAGACAAATTATCATATTTTCTATAATATGCAAAGCCTAAGTTTAAAATACAATATGTATGTATGTGTGTACATCTATGTGTGTATATATACACATGACATGAAAACAGATACACTAATTTACATTTGATGAGAGGAAGGGAACCAGTGAGAGGGAAGGGCAATGGGAGCAGCCTGTTCTACAGAGTGAGTTACAAGCCAGCTGGGGCTACAGGGAGACTCTGTCTCTAAATCAATCAATCAATCAATCAATCAATCAATCAATCAATCAATCAATCATGATTTCTGACATGAGAAATCTGCCAAATCCAAGTTTCATGATTTGCCATTAAATGGCTGTGGGAAAGTTACCTAAAATTTTTTAACCTGAATTTCATCATTTTAAATACAGTTATTCTTATTAAGTTGTCACAAGCATTACCTAGTATCAGAAACATTAGGATTCATTCAACAAAGGTCTCTTAAACTACAGTGTTAAAATCACAAAGGCTACAAAATGTCTATGAAAATAATTTCTTAAGTGGGCAAATGGAGGAAAATATTTAATATATCGATTAAATATTTTTGGTATATTTAGTATACCAAAAATCTTATAAAGAGCATATGGGAAGAAACCTTTGAGTACTCTAGATAGCATAAAGATGCATAATTAAAGGACAGAAGCATTTCCAGTGGAAAATAAATCTAGAAAAAGTTAAATTAAGCCAGGACCAGCCAGGCATGGTGGTGCATGCCTTTAATCCCAGCACTCGGGAGGCAGAGGCAGGTGGATCTCTGTGAGTTCTGAAACCAGCCTGGTCTACAGAGTGAGTTCCAGGCCAGCTGGGGCTACAGGGAGACTATGTCTCAAAAAAAAAAAAAAAAAAAAAGCCAGGATGTTGTGCATGCCTGTAATTCCATCCCTCAGGAGACTGAGGCAAGAGCATTATGAGTTCAAGGTCAGCCTGGGCAACATAGACCCTGCCTCAAAAAGAAATAAAAGACCTAAAATAGTGCCCCTTGAAACATGGCAATAACTTTCTTGTTTCCTCCAAAGTACAACAACATCTTTATATAACAACAAAATATAACAACAAAACCACCTCTTTTTTCAGAAAAACCACACAAAAGAAAAAAATAATAAATGTATTCTCCATGAAATTATAACTAATGTTTGATGCTTGTATAGAACAAAAACTAGATTTTGGGCATTATAGAGTACCATAGTATAAATCCTACATCAGTCAAAGAACATATACATACTTGTACTATTGTCTTATTAGTGACTATGATCTACAAAAGGAAGTAACTTACCTCCACAGCAAAGATCCCCTTGTCACGCCCATATAATTTCATCTCTTCTGGAAAACGCTCAAAAGCATTTATGTAAGGAATATGGTCTTCTTCAACAAATCTGTATTACACACACACACACACACACACACACACACACACACACACAGAAAAAAAAAAAAGGCCTCAGAGCTATGTACTGACTTTGCAGAGTAAAGTTTTTGAAAATCTTACTTCGGAAGGAAAGTAAAAATTAGTTCTACCTCTGACATATTTTAAATGATAAAGCTACTATCTCCTGTATCAATGTGGAAGACTATCTAATCAATTATCTACTGTTGTCTTAACTCTCCAACTGAATAGATTATGTCTAGGAAGTGTGTATGTCAATTCACGAGGCTCTCCAAACATCTCTTCCATCTCTGGCTCCCCTCAAGTAACTAGCTCCTACTCATCTTGTGAATTACTTCTTCAGGAAATTCTTCTTTGGTCCCCGTTTCCTTGTCTGCCCTTCTGTTTTCAGGACCCAGCCCATTTCACAGAAAATGCTGGTTGATGGAGAAACCATTAAGGTTTTTATTCCAATGTCTTGTATACAACAGGAGGCAAATATTTTGAGTCAAGTATTGAGTTTGAAGAAAACTATACACATTTGTAAATGTACCAATGTATTTATAATTCATCCTTTAAGCCAACAGAAAGTTATGGATTATATGCTCAGCACCACTAGGGATACAGTAGTGAACCAAGTAGGCAAAATTCCTGTTCCCATTGAGATTACATTTCAGTGAGAAGAGAAGGATGGCCAAAAGAGCAAGTCAATAAATCTACAGTATGTTAAGTAGAGGAAATGTTAAGGAGAAAAAGGAAGCAGAGGAGAATAAAGAATGAGGAATGGGGTCTCATGTATAAATTCCTAAAATAATGAAGGTTATGAAGGGAAGTAAGACACAGTCATGAATAAGCACACAGAATGTACTGTTTCTGTATCGACTGCTGCCAGAACTGAGCTATCAGCTGGCTGCCAGTTTTCTAGAAATTAAAGAATAATACTGAAAGTTGAATTTCAGAATTAAAATATGATTTCTTTAACTTTTAGTATACTAAAAGTTGAGAATTAAGTATTTTAGGGAAAAATGGCATGAAGTCTCTCTCATCTGGGTTTTCATTAGTTGCTTTAATTTCTATAAAATATTTGTGTCATCAGTAATCATATTATTTTAGAACTACTATACTGGGTTAATGTTATTCTATATACATTCTTATCAGTTCAAAAACTACCAAGAATACCACATGTTAATGTTCTGATAACTTATTCAGCCTTCATCTCCAGGTGGCAATGCATACCTGTTGCGCACAGAGTGGTAGAGCTGGTGAAGAGTGCGCCTATCCCCACCCTAACGTTAAAGTGGACAAGACAGGAGAATCACAGCCAGAAGTGCCACCAGAGAGACTCACTCTGTGCTGCAGGAGCAGAGGACAGGGAGAGAAACCAGCCTGAGGAAGCAGAGATGTGCACCCCCAGAGCAAGTCTGGAGGCATGTGGAATTCTAATTCCACATGCTGTTCATAACCTCTTTCCAAAGTCTGCTTTTCTTTTTGAATGTGAAATTCCTTTTAGAAAACATCTTTTTTAAAAATGGCTGCCCAATCAAAATTCTAACACAGAATTTCTCTTAGTAGGTATTATCAGCTGGCTCTCTGGATTAATCCAGGAAGTGGCTGACCGAGGAACTGCACAGAGTAAAAGTGTCCTGTATGCCTCTCCTGACCAATTAGAGCACTACTTCAGCCATGTCTCTGCTCATAATTTTACTGCACTTTTTGAAATACTGATTTGTGACAGACTGAAAGTTAACAAACTGGTCCTTGGTTGTAGATCATTTAAGCAGCACTACATTAGAGCCATGCGTACTGTGAAACAGATGCTGACCCATTTATTATTCTGTTTCCTTCACCACCAGCTTCATCCAAGCCACCACCTCTTGCCTAAAGTTTAGTAAAAGACCTCCCAGTCTCCCTGATTTTCCTTTCTTGTACAGAATACTATTTCAATATTGCTGTCTGAGGGACCTTTTAAAAACAAAGATAAGACCATGTCTCTTTCACTGCAATCTTCCCATCACTTACTATATAGCACTTAAAACCCAAAGTTCTAATGGGTAGTTTTCTTCTGAAGTGATAAAATATGTCCTGATAGAAGTGAATAGAAGTAGAGAGAAGTGATGGCTGTATGTTTCTATGGATATGCTGAATACCATTAAATTGCATTTTATTTTATTTTTTGAGACAGAGTCTCACTATGTAGTTCTAGCTGGGATTAAAGCTGTGAACCAACATGCCCAGCATAAACTCCACATTTTTAAGATGAATTTTATCATATGTAAATTATACCTCATTTTTTTTTTAATCCTGGGGAACGAGAGAGGAAGACTAGGGGTGAAAACAACTAAAATTCATTGTACATGTGTATGAAACTGTCAAAGAGTTTAAAAACTGGGGAGAAAATTCCTAATCCCTAACATGGTCTATAAAGATATACATCTGCCCTATTTACTTCTCTGTTCATCTTACCTATCCTCCTTCCACTCTTCTTCCTCCAGTCGCACTATTCACCTTCTGCTCCCTGAGCATTACAGAGCCTACTCTTGCTTAGGGCTTAGCACTAACAGCCCCTCTCTACCTGGGACTCTAGGATCCTCATAGGCTGGCTGTACTTCCAATCAAAGTGCAGTTCAAACCCCACCCTCTATATACCCAATCTAAGACAGCCATGTAGTTATTCTCTATCACATTATCCTATTTCAATCTTCTGGTCTACACTTGCCTGTCTGATCACTTTTGTATTCATTTATCAGTTTCTTCCTCTAGTCTTCAACTTCATGAGAGCAAGGGCTTGACTTATGTGATTTCTACTGCATCTCAAACGTCAAAACTCTAGAACATCATGTGAGTACAGGAGCTATTCAGAAACAAATACTTGTGAAATAAATGTTGGTTGGTTTTTGTTTTTTGTTTTTTTGTTTTTGGTCTTTTTGAGACAGGGTCTCCCTGTAGCTCCAGCTGACCTGGAACTCACTATGTAGACCAGGCTAGCCTGTAACTCACAGAAATCTGCCTGCCTCTGCCTCCCGAGTGCTGGGACTAAAGGCGTGTGCCACCACACCCAGCTTAAATGTCAGTTGTTTTTATTTCCGATTGTTATTACTGGCAGGCAGGGTCCTTTACAGGTAGTGAGAGGAATATAAATTTACCCTAAGGACTACAGATGTTGCTTTGAAGATTTAAACAAGGGAATACCACATACAGTCAATGTTAAGATACATAGGTATTCTGGCCAGGCTAATAACTGACTCCCTTCAGGTCAATGTTTAGTTTTTCAAAGCTTGGCAGCAGTCCTTAGACTTTACCATCCATAAGAATACCCTGGAGGGCTTATTAACAGAGATAACCAGGCCCTACCCAGAGTTTCTGATTCAGTTCTGTCAAGTACCCAGATAATGCTGAAGCTGTTGGTCAAGAAGCTTCACTTTAAGAATCTGGGACTTAGAGCTTTCCGGAAGAAAGCAGAGCATGAGATCAACGGTGACAGCCCCTTCTCCTATTGCCCCAAGCAACTAAGCTCTGTCCCCAATTTGAATACCCCACAGAGCAAAATGAAAGCCCTTCAGCTAACTAGATCCAATCTCCTTGAAGGCATTTTAGGATTTCCCTTGGTGGGAGAGGAGAAGCATGAGGAAAGGGGAAGATGAACAAGGGAAGGAAGGGCTGAGGGATACTAGGACTTATTCCATTCACATACAGTATTTTCCCTGAGAAGAATTTCAGATATTTTCTCCAATTTGTTACATTTCTAGGAGAGTTTTGTTGCTTGCTTATAAACTGCCCTGGGATGGCTGGCCCCTTGACCCAGCTCTGGAGACATGATTAGGTTCAAATGATTAGGGATCTTTTTGAAAGATCCCTCTGGTTATCAGGAAGAAAATGGATAGGAATGACAAGACTGCAGACACAGAGTTCAGTTGGGAAATCGTTAAGCAATCCAGGTGAGGACAGAGATGTGCAGCATGGAGAGAAGAATGGTTTAAAGAGCTGTTTTGGAAGTATAGGTGATAGGACACAATGACTAACTGTAAAAGTAGAGAGAGGAACGAGTCAAGGATGATCTCTAGATTTCTGGACAGAACACATGAGGATGTGCAGTGTGTACTGAGAATGAAAACACTGGAGAAGAAGCTGAACGAGAGAGACAGATGGTGAGCTACTCTTTAGTCATACTGATTTTGAGATACTATAAAGACATCAAGTGATGTGTCCAGCAGGCAATTGTACAGATGAATGTTAGGGTCTGGCTCTCAGCAGGCAAGCCTGGGCTAGTGATATAAAGGCAGGAGTCATCAGCATATAGATAATAATTAAAGCCTTGGAAGAAGATGATATCACCCATTGAGGGCATACAAAACAAGATGAGGTTTTCAACTTAAGAATAAAATTCACTGAATCATGAGCTAACTGCATGCAGAGTTAATCGCCCCTAAAAAAAGCTTTGTTATTTGGTTAATGTGGCTAAATTCAAAGGTACTACCATCATTTACCAGAAGCATTCTATTTAATAAAAGGGCCCAGTGCCAATAATGATGATGATGATGATGATGATGATGATGACAGTGATGATGGAAACATAAACAATCCTGACTAGCACTAAGTTCTAATTATGCTGTAGACACTGTTCTAAGTGCTTCTCAAGCAGTAATAATTATTAAAAGCAGTTATAACCTAAGGTGGAGTTATTATTATTAGGCCCATTTTATCAATGAGGAAACAGAAGCAGAGAGAAATTTTAAAACTTGCTCAATGTCAGGGCTGGAGAGATGGCTCAGAGGTGAACACTGGCTGTTCTTGCAGAAGACCTGGGTTCGAATCCCAGCACCCACATGGCAGCTAACAACTGTCTGTAACTCCAGTTCCAGGGGATCCTACAGCCTCTTCTGTCCTCTGCAGCCACTGCACGACATGGGTGCACTTACCTACATGATGCAGACAATACATGCATACACATAAAATAAAAATAATAAATAAAATATTTTAAAAAACTTGCTCAATGTCATGTAATAAATAATTGGTAGAGCCAAGAGTATGGCTCCAAATCTGTGTTCTTACAAGCACTCTATATACTGATTAAACCTAATGCTATTATTCAGAATACATATAAAAGAAGAGAAAAACATACTAATGATTTTGGTCCATTTGTTTCATTTGTTAAGTGATTAAGTCTTCTTTTGTTTTGTTTTTGTTTTTCTTTGAGATAGGGTCTCCCTGTAGCCCCAGCTAGCTTAAACTCTCTATGTAGATTAGGCTGGCTCAAACTCACAAAGACCCACCTGCTCTGCTCTGCCTCCTAAGTGCTGGGATTAAAGGCATGTGCCACCACGCCCAGCTTTAAGTGATTAATTCTTATAACTCAACTTATTAATTATAAGATCCTGTATACCGGAGTTGGCGTTAACTTGAGTATCTACTTCCTTAGTCCCGTCTTTCTAAAATTCTGTGACTACCTTGAAATATGTAAATGCCTGCTATTAGCATAACAGGGTCTTCCAATAGTTTTGTTTTCAACTTTTCCAATAAATACAGACAACCTATATTTTAGTTCTTATAACAGCCATATATATAACTATATACACAAAGCTACTTTTTTGTAACTACTAATGACTATTTTGTTACTGCAAAGATCATCTGTTCGTCTTCACTTACAAAAATATTTAAGATACCTACTCAAAAATGTTAATGTCATTTTTCTCTTTAAAGCATTTTACTCACATTAGATAATTAATTTTCTACTATCCCTTGTGAGGCAAATGTTATTATTTTCACTATATAAATGAGAAAACCAAATTACTAGCCTTAAACAGGAATAAATTTCAGAACGAGGACCCAAGCTAGTGTAATGATTAATCTTCACTGTCAACTTGCCTGGATTTGGAATCACCTAAAAGACATATACCTTAGGCATGTCTCTGTAGGGAAGTTCCAGAAAGTTAACTGAGGAAAGACCCACCCTGAGTGTGGGTGGCACTGTCCTATGGGCTGAGGTTCTGGACTCAATAAAAAAGAGGAAGCAGGCTGGAGAGATGGCTCAGTGGTTAAGAGCACTGACTGCTCTTGCAGAGGACCCGGGTTTGGTTCCCAGCATCCACATGGCAGCTAACAACCATCCATAACTCCAGTTCCAGGGGATCCGACACCCTCTTCTGACCTCTGCAGGCACTGCATGACACAGGTGCACTTACATACATGCAGGCAATACACGTATACACATAAAATAAAAATAATAAATAAAATAATTCTTAAAAAGAAAGACAAAAAAAGAGAGAAAGCAAGCTAAGTACCAGAATGCCTGAACTGCCCAGATGTAAGCAAGCTGCCCACTGCCACACCTTCAAAGCCATGATGGATTACATCCCCTTGAACCATGAGCCAAAATAAATCTTTCCTTCTTTAAGTTTTTTTTTGTTGTTGTTGTCAGGTAGTCACAGCAAGGAGAAAAGTAACTAGTATACTATCCAAGCTTTCCAGTCCTTTCCTCATCTTAGGTCTTCTTATAAATATCAAAATATCCCAAGGTTGTTTCTTAGTTCATACAGATAATCAGCAAAAACATCATGAAGTAAGTTCATTTTACCTCAAAAGATCTGAAAGAGTAATTGTTTCTCTCTGCCAAAGTAAGGACAGATAGCAGAAAGCAAGCGTCCTCGGCACAGTCATCTTCACAATTCCCTTCTCCTTTCTCAATGAGTATTCCACTCCATCAAGAGATCCAGAACAGACAGATGCAGCTCCTTAGGGGATAAAGCCAAGATTTTTTTAAAAAAATGAATAACAGAAAAACATGCATTTAAAATAACTGAAATAGATTAGAACTGATAAGCTTTGTATAAACAATTTGGCAATAAAGGTCAATGAAGGTTTAGATGGAAATTGGCCAAATAGGTAATTAAGAGTCATCTGTGAGAGTGGGATGAAATGAGATTCTAAACAGAGATGTAAGTGCTTTGAAAAAAAAAAAAATTTTTTTTTGGTCTTTTTGATATGGGGTCTTCCTATAGCCCCAGCTAGTCTGGAACTCATTATGCAGACTAGGCTGCCTTGATCTCACAAAGACCCACCTGCCTCTGCTTTCTAAGAGCTGGGATTAAAGTTGAATTTTTAAATAGTAATCATGAACTATTTTTAAAATAAAATAGTGGTTAAGAGCATTTGCTGCTCTTGCAGAGGATCGGGTTCGATTCCCAGCACCCACATGACAGCTGACAACTGTCTATAATTCCAGTTCCAGGGGATCTGACATCCTCTTCTGACCTCTGCAGGCACTGAATGAGGCACTACACACATGCAGGCAATACACTCATACATGTAAAATAAAAATAATAATGTTAAAAAAAGCTTTTTTGAATTTCAAGATATGCCGTCCATCTGTTTAAGTCATCCTCTCTTTCCTCAACTCCATCCTCTTTCTCTTTCTGTTCTGAGATAACCCAGGTTATCTCAAACTTACTATGTAGCCAAAGACCATACTGAGTTCCTAATCCTCCTGCTTCCACCTTCTGAGTTCTGGGGTTTTCTTAATGTGTTCCAGGAAGTCATCCAAGGTGTGAGGTAGAGAAGCAGAGCCAGGAATGACACTGGAAACTCCACACTTTCTTAGACAGAAATTCCCTAACTCTTCAAAATTTCTTTTTCCAGTTGTAAACCCTTCCTGCAAAACACTTTCCAGTAACTGAAATCTTTTATAAATACTTTTATTTTACATGTTGTGCTGGACAGCTTTAGTTGTCAACTTGACACACCTGGGCAGAGGATGTCTCAATTGGGGAATATCCTCCATTGTATTCACCTGTGGCCATGTCCGTGAGGCATTTTCTTGATTTCTGAACAATGTGGGAGAACCCAGACCACTGTGGGTGGTGCCACCCTTGGGCAAGTTGTTCTGTATTATATAAGAAAGTAGGATGAGCATGGGCCAGGGGAGCAAACCAGTAAGCAATGTTCCTCCATGGCCTGTGCTTCAACTCCTGCCTCCAGGATCCTGCCCAGAGTTCCTACCTTGGGCTCCCTCAGTGATGAACTGAGACCCAGGAGATGTAAGCCGAATAAACCCTTTCCTCCCCAAGTTGGTAGTGGTCAGAGTGTTTTGTCACAGCAATGGAGAAACAAACTAAAACACATGTATATGGACTTGGTATGCATGTACACAGGTTTGCATGTATTTGAGAGCATGTAGGGGGGGTGTACATGTACATGTGTACATGTGTGTGTGTCCTGAAGTTGATGTCAGTGTCTTTCTTGATCACTCTCTACCCTATTCATTGAGGCAATGTCTCTCACTAAACCTGGAGCTCACCAATTCCAGCTAGTCTAGTTAGCAAGCTTACCCTGGGGATCCCCATCTTCATTTTCCAAGTCCTGGAGTTACAGGCAGCTACTGTGCTTGTCAGACTTTAATGCGGGTTTTGGGGATCAGAACTCCAGTTCTCACACTTGTACAGAAAGTGCTCCTTCCACTGAGCCATCTCCAAGCCCTGATATTTCTCCCTTTTGTGTACTTGCTGTCTATCTCTTCCTACCACAATATGAATGCCTCGAAGGCAGCCATTCTGCTCACCACTGTGTCCACAGTACTCAGAGTAGCTCCAAGGACAGAGTAGGACTATAATAAGCATTCACTGACATGCTGGTCCAGTATTTCTAAGACATTATTCTAGAGAAATGAGTGTAAAAATACACAAAGTTTTAAAGTGAAAAAAATGTGATTGCAACATTACTTATAATGTGAAAGACTTTAGAACAACCTAAGTGCCAGGAATATGTTTAATTAAATATCCAAACAATGGTATATTATGTAATGATTTCCAAACTGCTTTAGATCAGTGGTCCTCATGGTCAGCACTGGCATCACCTGAGACCTTAATAGAAACATAAATTTTCACAGTTCACCAATCTTCCTGATAATTCTGATTTAAAAGAACAGGAACACAGATTCCCATAAAATACTGTTAAATATATACATACATATATCTAATTTTTATATAAACCTAAAGACTAACAGTTAAGACAGTAGATTGAAAACACACATTGGTCTCTGCTTTCTCTCACTACAATTACCATTCAAGAGTTTTTAAAACATGTAAATCCAAAACAAACAACATAGAAAAGGAGACAAGAGCTAGAAACATGCCTGTAATCTTAGCACATAAGAGGCTGAGGCAGAAGGATCATGAATTCTAGGCCAATCACAGCTAGCAAGGGCCTATCTAAAATAAAAACAACCCCAACCCCCCGCCCCAAACACCACCCTCAAATTTGGGAAACTGGAAAGCTTTGGTAGTACTGAAAATGTATGATCAGAAGCCAATACCAGGGAAGGGGAATAATTCTCAATTTTCACTAGAGAATCCCTAAAAAAGGTTGAGCAGAACTGGTTAAAGCAGATACCCTTGAAAACTGGACAAAGGCAAGGCTCTGACAACAGCAGGATTGTATAGAAGTCTGATAAAGAAACAGACACCCAGGTTTCAGATCTAGCTCTGTGGCAGAGTGCTTGTCTCTAAGCACAGAGTCCTAGGTTTGGTCCCAGCACTTGGGGATGGGTGGGTGGTGAAGTCACAAGCAGATATCCAATTCTTATCTCAACTCTCTGTGGAGCTATGCAACTATCTCTCCCCAACCATGGCAGAAAATTATAAGTTTCTTCTCCACAGAAAGGAGAACAAAGGGTCTCTAGAAGAGAACAAGCCTGTCCCATGACTAGCTGAAAACAGAAAGGGGAACTAAGGTTCTAACTTAAGTATTGTGACAATTCTCACCTGCTTCTCATTCAGTCCCCAGAACACAGATAGCCAGGATTACACACTTGCTAAAGAGAAAACTCAAAAACATTTTTCTAAGGAATATGATCAGCTCAGAAGGAAAAGATTTTATGATGATAATGCTGAGGTTCTCTAAGAAAGTAGACCAGATAGATCACCATTGTGTGCAAAACAGAGCTGGACACTCACCCCAAAGCTTTTTTCTCCGTTTTTAGCACTAGGGATCAAACCAAGAGCCTCATGTACCCTTCAACTAAACTACATCTCCAAGCCCTTCACCTTCATTTTCAAATAAGAGCCATCAAACACTTTAAGGTTCTAATATAAAATGTATTAGCAGATGGGCCAGGAGTGGTGGCAAATGCCTTTAATCCTAATCCTAGCACTTGGGAGGCAGAGGCAGGCTGATCTTTGTGAGTTCAAGGCCAGCCTGATCTACATAATGAGTTCCAGACCAGCTGGGGCTACAGGGAAACGCTGTCTCAAAAAGACCAAAAAAAAAAAAAAAAAAGCATTAGCTGGGTGTGGTGTGCACACCTTTAATCCCAGCACTCAGGAGACAGAGGAGGATGGACCTCTGTGAGCTGGAGGCCAGCCTGGTCTACATAGCAAGCTCCAATTCAGCCAGGGCTACACAGTGAGACCCTGTCTCAGAAAAACAAAAACAAAAATAAAAGGGTCAAAACAAATCAAGGGGGAAATATTAGTACCTTCTAGGAAATAAAAAATGAACCACAAACACACAAACTACCCCCTGCCCCCGCCCCCATGATGAAATGGGATCCAGGAAAACAAATCCAGCAAGAGAGAGGAGACAAGACGGAATTTCAGGAGGAAAGTAAAGAGATCCTGAAGTAAGCTGGGCTACAGATCTAGAGACATTTTGCTAGAACCAAGGTGTCAAAAGCTCCAGAGAGACTCCCTTCAGAGGATGAAATTGAGGCATTACCTCAAGTATTGAGAGGCAATTTTAAACTGGGAAGAAATGTGATGGTTAACAAAGAATAAATGATAAATAGATAAGCAATAAAGAGAAAGCTAAACAGCTAACAAAACAAAAATCAAATCTGAGAGAACCAAAGGATGTACATAAAAAGTAATGATAGATAGGGCTGGCAAGATGGCCCAATGTAGAAAGGCTTTTGTCAACAAGCTTGATGATCTGAGTTCAATCCTTGGGATCCACAGAGTAGAAGAAGAGATCTGCAAGTTGTCCTCTGACCTCAACATACATGTTGCAACAAGTATGCCCACACATACACACATATACATACATGCACACAAAATTTCAATTTGAAAAAAGGTAATAGCAGCAAGCTTCATGTTCCAGTTCTAAATAGCACTTATACCATTTATAGTCTATATACATCTATAGTCTAAATATATCTACAGTCTGTATACATTTACAGTCTGTATACCTCTAGAGTCTAATGTATCTACAATCTATATGCATCTACAGTCTGTATATATCTACAGTCTATATACATCTATGATCTGTATACATTTACAGTTTGGATATATCTATAGTCTAATATATCTACAGTCTATATACATCTACAGTCTGTATACATCTACAATCTATATACATCTATAGTCTAATACATCTACAGTCTAAATACATCTATAGCCTGTATACATTTACAGTCTGTATCCATCTATAGTGTAATACATCAACAGTCTAAATATATCTACAGTCTAAATACATCTACAGTCTGTATACATCTATAGTCCATATGTAGCTAAATACAGCTATACATTTACAGTCTATATCTACCTATAGTCTTATATATAGCAACAGTCTACATATATCTACAGTCTACATACATCTACAACCTGTATACATTTATAGTCTATATACATTTACAGTCCATATACATCTACAGCCTAAGTGTCTACAGTCTATATACATCTATGGTCTAAATACAACTATGGTCTAAATCTATTTAGACACTGAATGTTGGTCCAGTGAAGCACTGTGTTAGGAAGCTGGAAGATGGGAAACATACAATTAGACACCATTGACCTTAGGGACAGGAGAAGTAATGAGGGAAGCTGGAGAGCTAAGACTTTGTCTTCCACAGTATGAATCAATAGCTAATGTTCCTGATCAGAAACCAGATGTAACACTAGAAACAGGATACGGAAAGGTGGACATTACAAAAGACTTGGAAATGAATGTCTCTTGGGAACAGAATGCTTTGGAGGCAGCAGACTATACCTCTTTTTCGTTGTTTCTAATTTTTCATAATAACATGGAGAACTATTTGAATTCTATGTATATAAACTCTGCATTTCTCTCTACATATATAAAGAAAAAACTTTCTGGATGATCAACTATGGCAATAATGGTGATTTCCGGGTGAAACAGTAGCTGGTGATTTTTATTTTCTTTATCAATGTCTGTATTTTATAGTTTTGTACTGAGCTGTATTCATAATTTCAGTGTAAAAACTAAAAGACCCAGGCATGGTGGGGCATGCCTTTAATCCCAGCACTTGGGAAGCAGAGGCAGGCAGATCTCTGTGAGTTTGAGGCCAGCCTGGTCTACATAGTGAGTTCCAGGCCAATTGGGGCTACAGGGAGACCCTATCTCAAAAAGATAACAACAATAACAACAACAACAACAACAACAAAAAAAAACCTAAAGAAAATTCTAGAAGTCATCATTTACTGAAAAGAAGGAAGAAACAGAAATCCTTTATAGGTTAGCAAAACAATCAGGATGCTTTCAAAGGAACTGACATCTTTTTTAAAAGCTTGGCTGGTTTTAGAGCCACCATCTTCTGGGACTGTTTGAAATCAGGCTTGCCCAAGAAACAGTCCCAGAAGAAACACCAGAGTCACTATGTGTCTAATTATTCTATGATTCTAACACTTCTTTGAACACAAAAAGGTAACTTATTTGTATCTATGTCCCTGTGCAGTCCAGAAAGAAATAAGGATATGCAGATAGAAAGGAATTTTTTTGGTCTTTTTGAGACAGGGTCTCCCTGCCCCTGCCTCCTGTGTGCAGGGATTAAAGACATGCACCACCACATCCAGCTTGGTAAAAAGGAATCTTTAAACTTTGGAGAGCAATAGGGCTCACAGAGAAACCACCTACATAAAAATCATTGTTTAAAATGTTATATTAACTGAGCTCTTGCTGCTTAGCCTTTCAACCTGAGTTAGATCTCTGAGACCTACATGGTAGAAGTTGAGAACCAACCCCCACAAGTTGTCCTCTGATCTCCACATATGTACACACATACAATATATAAGAATTTAAGAAAAGATTCTAAACAATTTGATTCTCATTTTTACCTGACTGTGATGCTTTGGTGATGGGGAAGTCCTTTGGAATCTGGGCATCAGACTGAAACTCTGCTCCACTTTCTAGAGCAAAGTCAGTGTCACCACCACTTAGCAGCTCAGGCTCACTAGCCCAGTCTGAACAATGCAGATTATCTTTCAACACCTGATCACAAGACAATGTAAACAAAAATTATCTCATGAGTTTAAAAGTTAATTTCAATGAACTTAAACCGTGCCTGTTCATCACAACTACAATAAAAGAACCTGTTCTAGAGATCTGTAACTGCTGAGACTTTAAATCTGGAAGGTCCTTACTCCTGAACTGTCCCCTGATAGCACCCAGCAATGCTTCCTGGAGAAGGCTTCAAACAGGAGTGAGGCTGGTGGGAAGGTTGCCAGTAAACTCAGATTAGGTTTCCTGCTTCCTCCCTTGTAGTGGTAGGACACTCATAGGGAGAGTACCAAGTGTCACAGTGACTCCATGCATGCTGGCTGGCTTCTTTCTATCACACACTTTGCATCTTGCTGATTCCATTTCTTTTCTGAACTATCTTTTCTTCTGCCTCTTTGCAATTCACTACTTACTCTTCTAGAAATGCTGCCTCCAACCTATTCCTCTCAGTGATGTTTCACTTCCTTGAACTATATAACCAGTGCCTGACAAAGATACACTTTCTCATACCATTGTTTATTGTCATACATGTAGCATTACCATTGTTTATGGTCATACATGTAGCCTTGAAATGATGGTCAGTGTCCCTAAAACAGTCAGGGGACTGGCCACCTAAAGATCTCATTAGCTTATATTACCATGATCCCAGGGCTGGAGAGATGATCACTCAGCAGCTAAGAGAACTGGCTGCTCTTGCAGAGAACCCAGGTTCAGCTCTCAGCACCCACATGGCAGCTAAGGACAATCCAGGAATTTAGAACCCTCTTGTTGCCTCCTCAGGTAACAAGGGTACACTTACATACATGTAGGTAAAACGCTCATATACATAAAATTAAAAAATAATTTTTTAAAAAGCCATGATCTCAGCCCTACAGGTCAAGAAACTTGACCTTATATAAAAAGATCAAACTTGGGGCTGGAGCGATTGCTCAGCAGTTAAGAGCACTTGACTGCTCTTGCAGAGGACACAAGTTCAAGTCCCAGCACCCACATGGCAACTAACAACCAGTTGTAACTCCAGTTTCAGGGGAATCCGATGCCCTATTCTGACCTCCACGGGCATTTTGAGACACGAGTGCACTTACATGCAGGGAATACACATATAATAAAAATAATATTTTTTTAAAAAAAGATCAAACTCATGTATTGAAGAAGTTCACAAGAGAATAAAGCAATAAAATAATGGGGTAAAATTCCTCCCTCTAGGCCAGCCACTTGAGGCAAGGTACATCATAAAATATAGACTCACTGAGAACCTGAAGCAATCAGAAAACTTCCATAAGTGGCAACCACCTGCCAATGCTCCACCACATAATCTACCCTGTTCCCAGTTCTTCTGGACAGGCAAGCAACCTCCCATCAAAGGCCAACCTCTCCATTTGTATATTCTATCTCTTTCCCTCTTGTCTAGTCAAAGAAATGACTCAGTTCTATTTTCTCTGTTGTGACTATTTCTTTTCTCCTATTATCAGTCCATTAGTATACAAATATGCTATCATATATCCTACTTTAAAAAAACAAAACACAATAAAAACAATGGGGTTGAAGAGATGGCTCAGAGGTTAAGAGCAGTGACTGCTCTTGCAGAGGACCCAGGTTTGAGTCCCAGCATGCCCATGGGGGTTAACAACTCTTCATAGCCCCAGTTCTAGGGCAATCCAACAGCTTCTGACTTCCATGGGTGCACTTATACACATGCAGACAATACATTCATACTCATAAAATAAAAATAAAAAATAATTTTTTTCTGTCTTTTTGAAGCAGGGTCTCCCTGTAGCCCCAGCTGTCCTGGAACTCACTATGTAGACCAGGCTGGCCTTTAACTCACAGAGATCCACCTGCCTCTGCCTCCCAAGTGCTGGGACTACAGGCATGCACCACCACACCCGGGTACAAAAATAAAATATTTTTTAAAAAACATAAACAACAAATAATCTTTCTGTGGCCACAGGTAACCATACAATTTTTCTGAATATCTTTGCAGCAAAATGCCTCGAGGTAGTCCAGCTTTTCATTTTCAGTTTCTCGCCTCAGAGTCTAATACTCCATTCCAGTCAGTATTTCAGTTAGTATTGTAATCCAGTCAGTATTGTAGGCCTCTTCTTTCCTGATCTACTGACAGTACCACAGCTTGCCAGTGTCTTATTTTTGAAACACCCTGTTCCCTTGGGCTCCAGAGTGTCCCTTCTCTCAGCCATCTTCATCTCACACCAACACCTTAACCCTAGAAAGGCTAGAGCTCAAGTCTTGATCCTCTTCTCTGCCTTTATCTTTTGGTGATAATCCACTAGTCTTAAATACTAGCTACTGTATCTACTTTATTTTAATTCTAAAATGTACCCTCCTTTTTTTTTTTGGTCTTTGTGAGACAGGATCTCTCTGTAGCCCCAGCTAGCCTGGAACTCACTATGTAGACCAGACTGGCCTTGAACTCACAGAGATCAGCCTGCCTTTGCCTCCCGAGTGCTGAGATCAAAGGTGTGTGCCACCTCCATATTTTAATACCTCCGAAATCCAGGTGACTCTTGGAATCTTTGGTGCCATAATTTAATTTACAGCATTCTTTTCTTCCTTAGGGGTACTTAAAATTTTGGCATATCTTGGTCTGGCGCTGTAGCTCAGAGGTAGAGTGCTTACCAACATGTATGAAGCCCTGGATTTAATCCCCAGCACCACATAAACTATGTGTGTTGGGCATGCCTATAATCCTAGCACTCAAGAGGTAGAAGCAGGAGGATCAGAAGTTCAAGATTATCCTAGGCTATACATCAAGTTTGAGTTCACCATGGGCTCTCTGATACCTTATTTACAAAGGGGGGGATAACATAAACAATAGCATTTTTGAGTTAATGACTGTAGTGTATATTGACAGCTTTAAAATTTCCATCTTTGGGGGCTGGAGAGATGGCTCATTGGTTAAGAGCACCGATTGTTCTTGCAGAGGACTCGGTTTTAATTCCCAGCACCCACATGGCGGCTACGAACAGTCCTTAACTCTGGTTCCAGGGGAATATGAAGCTTTCTTCTGACCTTCGTGGCATTGCATGACATGGGTGCACTCTCATACATGCAGGAAATACACTCATACACATAAAATAAAAATAACAATAAATAAAAATATTTAAAATTTCTATCTTTGGCCCAGACCTTTCTCCTGAACTGCAGACTTGTGTATCTAACGGCATACTTGACATTTCCTCTTGGATGTCTAACAGCTGTCTTAAACCCACATGCCCCAAAGTGAACTCCTGATCTTCTGGTTCCACCTGCCATTTCAGTTGATGGCAATTCCTTCCTTCCAGCTGCTAAGGCCAAAAACCTTAGCGTCATCCTTGACTCCTGTCTCCCCCACCCCAACATCTAGTTCATCAGGAAATCCTGTTGGCTGTATCTTCAAAGTCCATCTAGAATCCTACCAGTTATCACCTCCATTGCTACTGCTGGGCCCCAGTGCCCACTATCACTCACCTAAATGTAGGTTTGGGTTGATGGGCCCAGTAAGGCCTGAAATTCAGCATTTCTTCTCCTCCACATCCTGATGTTTACTCTCACTCCCCTAAGCAACTGCATCAGGAAGTCCTCCCAGACCATTCTTGGTTACATAACACCTTTCTCTGATGCCCCACTATTTGCATATTTGTTTGTTGGCTTTTTCTGAAAGTTTCTAGTAATTTATCTCCCTAGAACTTGCATTGCTCAAAAGTTGTAGGACCAGGATTCAGACGCATGCCTCTTCTTATTCTTAGAACAGTCATATCCAAAGCACTATCATCATATTTATATATTTACTGAGAAAACTAAACTTCTGGGGTTTCTTTTTTTCCTTTGTAGTGCTGGGGATGGAACCTATGATCTTGAACTGCTAGACAAGTATTGGTCACTGAGCTACAATCCCAAACCTAAGTGTCTAATTTTAACATAATTGTTTCTCTTCTTTTAATAGAATATGTTGCTGCACTCTTGCAACAGAAATTATATAATTTACCTAGCACCTTCCAATTCCAATTTTACATCTTGTTTTTTTATTCACCAAGATTTAATGTAATACTGTTTTACCCAAGTGTTTACTCATACCAGCAAAATTTTGTCTTTAAGTATTAAGTTAACCTAAAAGTATTTAAATGCCATAGAGGGACTGGAGAGATGGTTCCGGGGTTAAGAGCACTGGCTGCTCTTCCAGAGGATCCAGCACCCACATGGTAGCAACAACCATCTGTAACTCCAGTTCCAGGGGATCTGACACCCTCTCTGGCCCTGCAGGCTTAGCACAACATGGGTACACTTACATAAATACAGGCAAAATACTTATACACATAAAAGAAAAATAAAGTCAAAAAATAAATACAATATCATAGAGAGCCCCAGTACACAACAACCACAGATACCAAGCTATGAAATTTTAAGACCAAGTTCTTACTAGCTTGAATAATCACCCCCCCGCCACGTACCCTTACATAGCATCTTTTGGAGTTTTTTGGGCAGGGAGAGGGAGACAGGGTCTCCTTGTAGTTCTAGCTGGTCTCAAACTCACAATTCACCTGCCTCTGCCTCCCAAATGCTGGGATTAAAGGTGTGGGGTACCACGCCTGGCCCCCTTTTGGCTTTTCTTGATGAGTATCTGGCTCGTGTTTCATAATCTATGATCATAAAATACTGTTTTTTTTCCAGTAAATTCAAATTACTTCTCATAAGTTGATTTAAACTTATCATCTCAGATTTTAAAAGGGCATTTCCTTGGGTTATTTCCCTAATCACTGTATCTTTCATGATCTGATTACTCTAAACTCATTCTTAGAACCAGTACTTTACCACTGAGGATGTCTGTGCAGCTGAGAGGCTCCTCCTACCCACCTTTGTAACCTATTCCTTTCATCCAGACCTGGAATCCTCAGTCCTGAGATACTGACATTTGCATATAAACCTATGAAGACAATTTGCCCAAACAAGTAAATACCAATGTGAGTCAAATGTGAGTCAAATGGATTCAGAAT